GCATTGTTGCAAGAACCTTAGGCTGCAAATGCAAAATATGAACCAATCTATATCGGTATTTCATTATTAATTTGATTTCTTATCTGTTCTCCACCATAAGGTCCCAGGGCAGGTTACAGCAATTTAAAAATACAATATTAAAATAAGTTTTTAATATGAGAACAAAAGTGTGCTCATTCTGCCAATCAGCTGCCATTTTATGTCCCCTGGTATGGCAGTGCTTTAAGAACTTGTCACGCCTTCCATCTGCAACAGATTGTATGAGAGGCTGAAGAAAATTAACATTGCAACAATCAAATCTCTTTGCTAATCTTGAGAGCCTTTCAAAAGAAACAGAGCGCAAGTCTTAGACTGGTGGATGCTCTGCACCACACTCCAATGGAGGAAGCGGCTTTCTACTGAGTCAGACCACTACTCCATTCAGTTTGGTGTTGTCTGCACTAACTGGCAGGGTTTCATGCAGGAGACAAACCCAACCCTACCTGCCGATGCAAGTTGTGGACCGAACCTGTGGCCTTCAGCATGTGAAGCAGATGCTTTACCGCTAAGCTTGCCCCTCAGATGTCCAAAATGACTTTATTTGCCAAGCCCTTAACAAAACATCAGGTGTCATTAGAGGCAAACCACAGGGGTTGCCACAATCAGATTGGCCAACCTTGCAACTACACACCCTGATCATGTGGCCTCAAATTATTTAAGCTGCTGATGTGATTGTTGTTCCTCTCTTTCTGTGCTTGGCAAAGAAAGGTTTCCACCCTTTTGCCCTCATTCCCAAGCATCATAGTCTGTTTAAGAATACACTTTTGTATGGCAGAGAGGGGGAGGGAAGGGAGAGTGCTGTCACAGCAGGGATTTGGGCAAGAAAAAGAGGTGGTGATCAGAAGCCAAATTGCTGTGATTCACCCAAACAAGTAAGAGAGAGAGAGGAGGGAGGGAAGGAGGGAGGGAGGGAAGGAGTGAAGCTCAGGATGACCAGAATTGGAATAAACCTGTAATATGTCTGCTTCTATGCCAGGTTCCTGGGTAACTTCTAACCATCAGCATTACAACAGTCTTGTAGCTCACTGGAGCTATAGCCACAGTACATTAGTGGCATCCTCAATGAAGAGAAAGTGCAAAACACATACTCTTTTCAGTCCACACTGGAGAATGCATCTTAAGGCAGGGAGGGATCGAAGGAGAAAATAAGGGCCGTTATGATGTAGTATATCGGGTCCTCCCTTAAAAAGGGCACGTATTGTGGTGAGACCTGCCCACCTCTCCCTACTTTTAGGGTTTTGCGCTTGACCTTGCTATGCCGTTGTGTGTTGTCTGTCATTGGGACAGGGGCATGGCAGGAATCTTCCCCACTTGGCTGACTGGCTGTTGCCATTTGGGTTTCGCCTGCCGCGTAGCAAATCATCACAACTTGTAAGGTTGCGGATAGGCTCTCAGTCAGGTGATAGGGATGGGAGAACGCATGTCCGACTTTCCGCTTATCCAGGTGTTCACCCTTGGCTGACCTGTGCTGGAACCCTGGGTCAGTGCTACCTGCAAGGCAGGGAGCTAGTCAAACCAGAGCCTATGAAACCAGTCACTTTCTCTAATCAATAAAGTTGTGGCCTAAATTCTGCCAAAAACCAAACCAAAAATTTGAGTCAAATGTGGATTTATTTAGGGGGGAGATTTCTGGGTCTGAACACGTAACTAGAGTTTTTCTCAAGTATCTCTTATACAACTATCCGAGCAAAAGTGGAAGAGAAAAACTACCCAAGCCTTCACCAGGGAAACGGGGTTAAAGTAGGTCACTATGCAGTCCCCATTCAATGAGAAGACCCTGCTTTGGAAAAACAACTTAACTACAGGGAAAAGGCATCTCAGCCATGTACTTGAGTGCTTTTATTGAAGAAACAGGTTTAATTAGACCCAGAGTTCATTGGGACACAATTCTGGGTGAGTGCATCTAGGGTTACAGCCTCTGCTGGAAAAACAAGGAAGAAAACATGATCAGGGCTGGCCCTGCCACATACAAGGGTGCAATCACAGAGCAGATTTTGGGATGGCATTACAGGGCAGGAAACAACCCACTATTTATATTTTTAAACCCCATTTGGCTTCCCCATCTTAGGATGCCTCTTACAGTGGTGCCCCGCAAGAAGAATGCCTCGCAAGACGAGAAACTCGCTAGACGAAAGGGTTTTCCGTTTTTTTAGTCGTTCCGCAAGACGAATTTCCCTATGGGCTTGCTTCGTCTTGCGAGTTCTTGCGAGTTTGTTTCCTTTTTCTTAAAGCCGCTAAGCCGTTAATAGCTGCTAAGCCGCTAAGCTGTTAATAGCCGCTAAGCCGCTAATAGCCGTGCTTCGCAAGACGAAAAAACCGCAAGACGAAGAGACTCGCGGAACGGATTAATTTCGTCTTGCAAGGCACCACTGTATTTATAAAGTTTACATACAAATATTTGCATTCCAACTGTAAACCTCTGCACCAAAAGTGGTATATACCAGTAAATAGATTTCACTAACTGCCATTAACCCGCTAATCCAAGTGGCATTTGCAAAAGCACCCTATGCTCAAATGTTGGGATTAAGCAATGTGCAACTAACATGGAGGATGGGGGCGGGAGAGAGATTACACTACACCAAAAATGTGTTTTCCTCAAAAATTTAGCTGGCTGCCACCAGCAATGAGATTCCCACCAGGTACCAGGCAAGCCTGTCTTTCTCACGTTCCCCAAACTTATCCGTATAGCTCAATAATCTTCGAAATTTCTGATAGCTGAGGCACACCCTTTTGTCTGAATCAAAACAGGAGACATAGTTCACTCCCAAAAGTGTGTAAGAGAGTAAGAATGAGCATAGCAGGAGTCCACCAAGCAGCCTACTCTGATTGTGTGATCTGATCACACACACACACACACACACACACACACACACACACACACACCTGAAGGAAAGCAGAGCAGAAACAGTTATGCAGACAGAGGTATAACAGGCAGCCTGCTCTGAAGATGGGGACCTTGGACTTAAGAACATAACAGCTGGATGGATCGTTCTGGTGACCCATCTAGTTTAGCATCTTGTTCTCACTGTTGTTGACCAAATGCCTGTGGGAAACCCTCAAGCAATACCAAGCAGAAGAGCCCGCTCCCTTTCTGTGGGTTTCCAGCAACTAATATTCAGAAGCCTTGCTGCTTTCAACTGTGGAGGCAGAACATAGCCATTATGGCTAGTAGCCATCAATAGTCTCTGCCCCATGAATCTGTATAGTCTTCTTTTAAAGCCATCTAGGTTGGTGGCCATCACTGCCTCCTGTGGGACTGAGTTCCACAGATTAACTACAAACTGTGTAAAGATGTATTTCCTTTTATGTTTTCCTGAATCTTCCAACATTCAACAATTCCCTTTCGTTTCTCACAGCTCAGTTTGGGAATAGTCTATCTTGTGGAAAACATGTCTGGCAAACTAACATGAAATAACAGAAAATTGTTTCCTCCCTCCCAGGAATCAAAACAAGCTTAGTCGATCAGTAAGAACACGATGCCACAAAAAGATACATAAATGATATTTTAGTATTGAAATGCATGTTGCAGATGGCACACCAGATGAGGGTCGATTCATTATTCACTCTTGCAATGATGGCATCTCTCATTTTAGCTCTGCTATTTCCTCTCATTTTACTCACAAGCAAAGTCCTATGTTGTCTCCTGACTACGAACCCTGCATGAGCGAACTTTGCTAAAGTGACACTTAATGAATGATGCAGCCATGACTTGGTGTGCACTCTGCAGCATTAGCCAGGATCAGCAATCCTTGCAGTAAACAAGTAAGGGGCCAGTGGCAGAGCAACATCTTGCAGCCAAACAGGGCTAAATGAATACTGGCCAAGAAAAAAACAATATATGTAGTATATCATTAAAATTAATCAGGACAAAAATGATCAAAACAGGCCGCAATCATTATAATCCAAAGTATGAATAAGATGTAAAAGTCAGCATTTGTCTAACTTTCCATCTGATTTCATAAGATTATCAGCATTATTGCTATTAAAAGCATGTATTAGCTGCTTCTCCAATGCTTTCAAAAATGAATTCATTGAAGGCAAACACATTTCAACAGCAGGTCAAAAAAAGGAAAGACAGACAGACAGAAGAACAGCAGGAGCAGCAGCAGCAAAGAACACAAACCACTCAAAACGGAAGGCCAAGAAATGCACTTTGCACGCGTGCACTCACACGCACATGCACACACCCCTCTGGAGAGTCAGAAGAGAGGAAATATGCTCTGCTTAATATTCTCTCTCCCTCGCTCGCTCGCTCTCTCTCTCACTCTCGCTCTCTCTTTATATACAGATACTTTTGATATTGCAGGACAGATATAGTTTAACCACCGTCATAATTTCCCTTCCCATTTTTGAAACAACTCTTGTCATAATGTGAAAGACAGTTAATTTGGAAAAATGAGTTGGTTGGATGAAATTAATATGAAGTCCACCAGTGCAAAGACAAGTTAAATTTTGAGAATCCAAGTAAAGTTGCCTGTGTCATTAAAAAAAAAAAGTTTGTACAGGGCCTGGAAATTTTCATGAATGGTGGTGGTGGTTGGTGGTTGGTGGTGATGGTGGTGGTGATGACGACGACGATAATGGCAATAAATGAAATGGGCTTGCTATAGTATTGAACCTAAAGACTGCTTCCAAACCTGCCATTTAAGAACCAGCCCATTCCCTTCAATTACAACTTCCTTATTTATATAGGTAGGTGTCACAGGTACAGCACGTAACTGAGCAGTGCATCCTGACCACAAGGGTAGACGTTTTCAACACACTGCTGCAGCAATCATGGAGGCGATGGCAATCACGCCAGTCAGAGAGCATATTGTCCACAAAAATGATGTGGATGGGTGGGGAAAATGGATGCTCTGTGCTGCCCTTGGGGTTCCCAGAAACTCTCAGGAGTTTCTTTTTCATATGCAAGGCCTTGCAGAGCTATTTCAGTTGGGTACACATGCTCTCCTTCCTCTTACCTTTTGAAATAATTTCAGCACATTTTTTCTTTCTCTCCACAGTTGCGTCTGCAGACCTCTCTCCTCCCAAGGTTCACTCTCCTGGCGCCCGTCTTTGGGCAGGCAAAGAGAAGAGTGGAAGGATTTTCAGCAACTGACGTAAGAAGGCTGAAGATGACTGTAAAATAAAGGCAAGCAGGTTAGCGCAAAAATGCCCGTGCTCTGCTTACATATCAAGCTAAATTAAATTAGTGGCATCTACATAAGTGCCTCCTACTGTTTTTATTCCTACATACAAATACCGGATCTGTCAACTCAAGTGCAGTTATCATGGAAGCAGCACCAGGGGGGCTGGGGAAGAGGAGAAAAGCCAAAGTAATTTGTAAAATTAAAAAATCCATTAAATAGCAAAAGGATTCCAGAATGTTATCTTGGTTTCATTCAGGAGGGAAGGTGATCTACCCACAGCATCTGGTGGTCAGAAGCAGCACTGGCTCTGACTGTGTATAGCCACCATGGCTAGCAGCCATTGATGTCCAACCCTCTTTTAAAGCCTTCACTGCCTCCTGTGAGTATGAGTTCCACAGTTTAACTATGCACTGCAAGAAGGGTCCATGGAAGAATTCTGTAAGAGTTTGAAGTCCTCTGTCATTCCTTGGGGTGGAATGTATCTTGACTGGGCCAGTAACTTTTGCCCATTATTCTGTTGACTCACAGTTTTATGCCTGTTCAGTGCTGAAGTCATCTATTTTATTATTGAAAGTTATTTCACAGCAAGTGCTGTTCAACAGTGGAATGGACGCTTTCAGAAGGTGACGGGCTCTCCTTCCTTGGAGGTTTTTTAAACAGAGGTTGGCTGTCCATCTGTCAGGGATGTTTTAGCTGTGATTCCTGCATTGGAAGGGGTGGATTACATGACACCGGGGGTCCCAACTCTACAGTTCGGTGATTTCATTTTGCTCCTGGTCCACCTTCTTCTTATCTCTCCCTCTTTTGTCATTATATTTGGAGATGCAGATTATGGCAAAGTCTGAAGAAACGTGTCACTGACAGGAGCAGCAGAAACAAGTATTTACGAAGCTCACTGGGTGATCCTGGGCTGTTCACTGTCCCTTAGTCTTCACCTTCTTCACAGAGTTGTTATGAAGATAAAAAGGGAAGAGGTAAGCCATGTACACCACCTTGAGCTCCTCAGTGAAAAGGTGAGATATAAATGTAATAAATATTCAAAATGAGCTAAAATTTCAAAGTGAATTTTCACAATGAAATTCAAATATAATTATTTATTCAAGTACTTTTCACAATGAAATTCAAATATAACCTCAGGGCCACATGTGGCCTGCAAGGCCTTTTTTGTGGCCCCCAGCAACATCTGACACACACCCACACACCCTGCAGCCATCATGCTGCCTTCCCAAAGCTGGGTAAGCAAAGTGCTCAGTTGTGGGAAGGAGGAGTGAGGGCTCTGACAGTGCCCTAGAGTTCTCCAACTTACTTCCCAAAGCTTAGTTAGCTTTTTTTTTTTTTTTTTTTTTGCTTGAGGTAAAGGACAAAATGTTACCCGCCCAATACATGTTCCTAAACTGACCTGACACATTTCCCCAAGTGGTGGACAAGCCACATTCACACCATACATTTGATACCACCATACATCTATGATACCACTTTAAACAATCATGGCTTTCCCCAGAGAATTCTGGGACCTATCATTTGTTACAGGTGCTGAGAGTTACTAGGAGACCCCCTGTTCCTGTCCCAGAGCTACAGACTCCAGTGTGATTTAACAGTCAATGCTTCTCTCAAGGAACTCTGGGAATATATTTCCCTTGATCTGGAAACTATACCTCTGTTGAAGCAGCCTAGATTACTGCAATCTAATTTTTGTAGATGTTTCCACAACGCAATTAGGGTCTCTTTATTTGCTCCTATAATTTGGAATGGATACTATTTTTGATTGCAGTTATGTATATTTTATTAAATAAAACAAAAAAATCCTCACCAAAGCTTCAATGTTCAAAGACTCCAAACCAAAAGTTCCTACCTTTCTGACATCTCTTGCTAATGGTTTGCTCCCTTTGTTTTTGTAGGGCACTGCAAACATACATAATCAGGCTCTCTGTGCAGGACCCTGTGATATCCCTGTTGAATTATGCAGAACTGGAGACTCATAAATAATGGTTCACTGCAGCACAAACAGTGGCGATCTGTAACGTGCCTACATAGTTCTCTGAAAGAGCTCTTGAAATTCTCCGCAAAGCCTGGAGCTTCAAGCAGCTGCTTGGCATAAGCAAAAGCCAAACCTGAATGAAGACAGCCCTGGTTGATTTGCTCAAGACCACTCAGAAAAGCAATGGGCAGAGCTGGGAAAAGAGCCCAAGATGCTTTGAGAACAACAGATAAGATGCTGTGCAGATGCACCCTGGCATATTGCTGGTTGCCTTTAAGCAGAAGTGTTATTATTAGCAACATCATCACTTTCTACTCTTGCTGCAATAAATGGTGTGTATTTGGCTTTGCATCTACCCTGAGGTAAAGACAATGCTTGATGGTGTCTTTAGAACAGCTTCCCCCAACCTTTTTTAGTTTAGAGAAAAGGTGAATATAAGGTGACAATGACAGAAGCTGAAAAACTGATGCATATGATGGAGAACGAGGATAGAGAAGGGTTTCTTTCTCCCTGCCCCCCCTTCTTTTGTAATCCTATAACTCATGGTCATCCTTGAATATGACTTTTGGAAGATTCAGGACAGAGAAAAGCAAGTACTTCTTAACACATCACATAGTTAAACTATGGAAGTCACTCTCATAAGGCCACCAACCTAGATGGTGTAAAAAAGGATTAAACAAGTTCATGGAAGGTAAGGCTCCATCAGTAGCTAGTAACCAGGATGGCTATGTTCTGCCTCCATGGCTGGAGGCAGAAAGGCTTCTGAACTCCACTTGCTAAAAACTACAAGGGGGAGAGTGCTCTTGTTCTCGGGTCCTGCTTGCAGGTTTCCTCTTGAGGTATCTGGTTGGCTACGGTGAGAATAGGATGCTGGACTAATGGGTCAATGGCCTAATCCAGCAGGCTCTTCTTATGGTTTTGTGGTTTTTTTGGTAAAGTTTATTATTATTTCATGTTATAATGTATATGAAACAGAGAACAATTATAACAAATGAAAATTTAAAGATGAAAAACAGGCATTTAGAATGAGTAGCTGCATATGAATTACAATAACGAAGCCCAAATAAGGACTATCATTATCTGATTATTAAGTATAGTTCCAGGTTTGTCAGGTCTTCTTGTGTTCTTAACCTGATTGCCCTGCAAATGCATTGGACTACAGCTTGCATCGGGCCCAGCCAGCATGGAGAGGAAGGCAGACTTCACTAGCAAAGAATCCCTCCTTGCCAACGGTTGCCATGTTGTGCTGAAGCCAAGTCCAGATGCTGCTGAGTGTTATCAGAAGCCTCTGGACCTCATGGTGGAGCAAGAACAGGTTCCTCATGTTCCAAAGGGATTTTCTGGAAGTAGCTCAGGGAAGGTCAACCTTTTGCCAGGTAAGGCCGAGTGCTTCTGATAAAAGAAGGAAGCAAGGACCCAGCTCAACCTTGAGCTGAGCAACCAACTCACTAGCAATGCCCACACGCTCAGTCCCCCCCTTTGTAAGATCATAGAGCTGTAGAGTTGGATGGGACCCAAAATAGAAGGAGAAGCTCAGCTCTTGTCCAATTCACCAATTCATAGTCCTCTTCCTAATTGCCTGGGGCAGATTCTTTAGTCTCTGTGGGTGATCAGGACAGTGTCTGTTTAGGAGCCTGAGTTAGACAAGCAGATGGGCAGCCATTCTGTGTTTACACAGCACCAGAGCTGAAAAAATAGGTGCCCCAGCACATTTTAGATACATTAGTTTTACTTTACTGGTGCACAAAAATGGCTCAATTTTTTTTCTAAACTGGGGGCAAAATTAGCCTCCTAAGCAAAAGTTAGAAAGAGCTGTTGTCATGAAGGAGGAGGACCTCCAGAAGATAGAGACAACTCAAAAACATCCTGAGGTTTAAGCATTCTGTGTCAGCTCAAGTCACAAGGGAAATAACCCTTTAATCCTGTGCACTGTGTTTCGTTTACTGCAGTGTTATCCTGCATGAAGACATTATGAAGGATATCCCTAGAGAAATTTAAGGCACAAAAAACATCCTGAGTTTGAACTTAATTCTACCATTCCAAAAAGGCTGTAAGCAATGGCAGATGACCTTTAACATCACTCACTTGTCAAGAGCCGCTCTGCCTCATAATGCCACGCCAAATTATATATTGCTCCCTTCTCACTCTTGCAGGCTTTGCTTTTGGTTGGAACTTTAAAATATTTATTTTCATTCATCAGGAGTGCCTGCCATTGCTGTTATTGACAATGAATCCCCCCCCTTTTAAAAAAAAAGTCCCCTCAAGTCGGGGATTAGATCTTTTAAAAAGATAACAGAAAGAATTTAGCAAGTCACTAAATTTATTTCCAGAAGGGGCTCAACCTGTCTTATACTTCTGCATGCTAATGTGAATAGCTAACCGCAGTTAAAAATCGTGAGCTGTACACTGAGTTGAAGAGAGAAAGTGAACCTTTCGGGTTTGCAGGGAATGGGAACTTGATTCAAGTGAGATTTGCATTTTGATCCTAAATGGGATTGCAAATATGCTTAGTAAAAATAAATTAAAATACACTGTAATTATCCTATGACAAGTGCTTGATTGCGCTTATTCCATCATCTAAGCGTGATTTTTGCTAACCTTCTTGTAATTGTTGATGCCGGTGCAAAACCCTGAATGATTACTCCCCAGCCTTTTTTCTTTTTGTAGGGCTCTTATGCTCATAGTTCAAGATTAAAAGGTCCTAATATTTAAATGTGTTGAGCACCTGGGGGCTGGGCTGAGCACCCTCAGCTCCCTGCCACCCCAAATGCTGTCATCATTGAGAAAAGAAGGGCACTCAGAGCAGCAACACCACCTAAATGCAAATTAAGGACAGGTGGAAAATTTATCCCCTTTGAATGGAAGATGATATCAAGCCATATTTCCTAGTGCCAAAACCCCTCACCTGTAGCTGAGGATTCAAAAAGGCATGGGTTAGCAATAAGCCAAGAGCAAAGGAGATGACAGATGAAACAAACAGAGAGGAGATTGCAGCTAAAATGTCATAGGGC